GAGCCCACAGCCCCTGGATGTGAGAGCGATACTGTGAGAGCTTTGGGAAAAGGTGGAGACAGGAGGCAGGATGAGTCCAGGGATGCCATGAGGAGCTCCTGCCTTCTCTGCCCCATCTGTCCTCACACCTCTGAGCTGATGTTCGGGTCCTCCTGAGCACACCTGCATATCAGAAGTTTTATTTTAACTACCACAGAGTAGCTGAATCCTCCCAGCTCACCTCCTGCCTTCCTCCCCCTCCGCAGCCTGCAGCGCTTCGCTCTCAGGGCTTATCTGGCTTCAGCATGTGGCTGCTGACCCGCCAGCAGTGCCAGTGCAGTGCACTGAATCTCTGCCTCCCATGCCCAAGAGTCACTCCATGTAACGAGCAGCACTCAAAGCTAAAAGCTGGGATCTAACAGCAAGGCAGAGGCCAATTCTCTCCCTGAGCAGTGAGAAATCATAAAACAATAGGGAAGTCCCACACTCCCACTGTGCAGCCTGCTGCTCCTTCCCTGGAACAGCTCCAGCTCTCATTCTTGGAAACAGCTCTTGGCCACTGGAGAGGGGAAAATTTTCTCCTCTCTCCACCCGTCTGACTCACTGCTCCTGAAACACTTCCTTCAAAGTCCTACTCCAAGATCTGTAAGTAAGGGGAAGTCCATGCTGTGTGACCCTTGGCCTGGCTACAGCATCACTGGGATCTCGATTTTACAAGGTGTTCTTTCAGATCTGGCAGCAACGCACAGACCTGGGCAAACTCCAGAGAAACAAATCACAGAAAGTCAAAGAGAAGCTTAATTGGCATTGACCCTCCTCGTGGAGCCAGGGAAGCCCCAGAGGCTCTTTGTACTAAGATTATTGTGCTGCTGCCAGGATGGACTGTAGGATTCATGCACACTGGAAGACACTGGTTCTATTTTTCTATAAACTCTCCTTCCTCCATCATCTCTGATTTCTCAAAAACCCCAATGTAGTGATGCCTGCCATGGCGTCAGGCAGTAGCAGTGTTTGACCCAGTGATGGGAAGACCTCTCACATTAAAATCCCACACGATGCAGCTTTACCTTGGTGATGTTATCAAAGATTTCCCCTTCCTCAGGGACAAAATATTTGATTTTATAATATCAGCTCCTTATGATTTTATGAGCACAGAGATGCAGTGAAGTGAACTCGACTGAACATAGTAACAGACACAACTTCTTGCCCCAGCGAAGCAGCAACGCAACAAGCTCCAGCTGAAGTGCTGATGTCTGGGCTGAGGACACTCCAGTGGTGGTGGCTCTCAAGGTAAAGTCTGTGCTTTTGTAGCCTCTCAAGCACCTCTCCCAGCACAGCTTTGCCAGTGACACACCTTTTCTTATCCCCAAGTGATACCACTGAGCCTGAAGTCCAGCATAAGCCAAATATAGAAAACAGAAGAGAAGGTTTATTCCACCTGCTATGAAAACAGACAATGCTATGAGGTTACATATCAAAACAAGAGAGCTCTGAAGAGCTGGAGTCTCAGGAGCCACAGACCCCATTCCTGACAAACTAAACAGAGGGTAGCAAGTAGGAGCAGCATAGGAAGCTTTGTACATCTCGTACAGGCCTCAGATCCTGAGCTGATGAAGGACCAGGAAAGCCCCAGCGTGATTCAAGTCAGTGTTAAAACTGCTCTTTGAAAGTCGGCTGCAGCAGTCCAACTCACGCTGCTTGCCTGGTCCCAGCAGCGTGTGTGTCTGGGACAGCCCTGTGCAGTGTCTGTGCCAAGAAGGTAGCAAAACACAGGCAACACAGGGACAGCACAGCACTCTCATCCCTCTCCAGTAAAAGGACGGCTGCGTTCATCAAAACCAGCTCTACGGTCGCCAGTTCAAGAGTCTGAGAAGCAGCAGGACAGCAGTCGCTGCCAGGACTTCAGAGGATGGACTGGCTCTCTGAGCCACTTGCCTTCCTCCCACACAGATCCTGTCATTTAAGCAGCAGCAGGACTTGCGTACACTACAAAAGTAGGTACTTTAACCTAAGCCAGCTAAGAATTTGTGATTAGTAGTTTGTGTTAACTTCAATAAACCACCTAAAACCCACACCAGATCTCAGTTAAATCCACGTGCTTGTTCCAACAGCGTCCAGAAATAAATGCTTTGTTAAAAAATCAGTGTATGACTCCGTTAGTGTTTTGATGCAAAGCACTCGATGGCCAAACAGAAACATTTGGAAAATCTCTAGAACTGATTTCTCCTGCAGTCAGCCTGAGGTTTTCCCCTCATTTTCACGTCATTCAGTATGAACCTTGCTAACATGCACCCAGGTCAATGCTGAAATGGTTCAAGGCGGGGTCAGTTTGTGTGTGTTTGATGACATCAAGGAACACCCCAAGACATTTCCCCTTCTCCCCTGCTCCAATTTGCTGCAGCAATGCCATACAGATGTAAACCCCAACTACTCATATAAAGCAAATTGCTCTGCTGTCCTGGAAACTTGTGTGCATGTCTAGACTTGTTCTTTTTCTCTCCTCCCTCTACAGAAAGATATAACAAAACTGGAAGAGACTGAGGGACAGGCAACCAGGATGATCAAAGTTATGGACTAGCTTTGGAGCAAGAGCCTCAGGAAGGAATAAGCTAAGTAGACTAGAAACCTTCAGCTTGGAAGACAGCTGAGGAGGGGATATGGAAGATCCTGGGAGATCACAGGAGGCAGAAGATGATACATGGGAATAGGTGCAATAATCACCCCATGTTCTCCACTGTTGAACACCTGGTGCTCCACAGCTTGACACTGCCAAAATCCAAGAAAAGAGTGATGCGCCCTTTGAAAAGGAAAAGCTTTTAGTGTTCTCTCAGTAATTTGTGTTCAGTCTTTCCAAGCAACACCTTCAGAAACAGTATGTTCATATTCCTTTTATAATCTCCTGGTCAGTCACTCAGGGTTTCTCAGCATTCCCAGGGAGACCCTGAAGCACTCAGATATTTTGCATCAAAACCCCTGCACAAAGATGATGAAACCGATTACATCAGATTTTCATGCTATAAGCAGAGCATGGTCTGTGCTACTAAGACACAACAGGTATTTCTTTTCCCAGTGTTTCCTGGTGTTTTCCCAGTGTTTCCTGCACTGCCACAGCCAGATTCAAAACAGTTTCCAAGATCTGTCCCATATCCAGAAAATGAAATGCTTTTGCCTTCTACCCAGGTGCTGCCACAAAAGACAACTTCCTCAATCCCTCCCTCAGACTAAACGACAGGACAGGCTCCTTCACCATCTCTGTTAAGATGGGAAAAGCATCTCAGGTATGATTCCTCCTCAGATTCTTTCTTTCAGCACATCTTCACATGGGCAAATATACCGAAGGGGTAAATCCTACTGACGTAGATGCATCTGATACACAACATCCTAGGTACTTCAGTGTGTTCCTGGCAAAGCCGGTAGTGACGGCTGTGTTGGCCTCAGCGTAGCTGCGTGTATGAGAGGCTCAGGGAAAGTAAGTTTGTAACAAAAAATCCAATGAAAACCATCTCAATAATGAGCTCTTTAACTGATTTGCTACAAAACTAAGCACGGGTAGAGAAGTGAAAATTTCCCAAAGTAAAAATTTCAAAGAAATCTTTCTAGAATTCAAAGGCTAAGCATCTTTTTTTTTTTTTTAATTAAAATTATTCTTCCTAAGAATCCCATCCTGAATAAAGACCCATTCTGCTCTCATTATCTAAACAGATTTGGCAGAGACGAGGTAATGAAATGCACATGTGTTCATCCACCAGCTCCAGACCTCCATTGAGAAAGACAGGCTCTTCCCCCACAGTACAACCTGGCACTGGTTTGCTGCTTGGCCCCTGTCCAAAGGCCAAAACCTCAGGATTAATGGTCACTGTTACAACATTTGCTTTCTACTTGGGAATACAGGAGCAGGTTTTTTTAAGCTGTATCTTTGAAATGGCAAAAAAGAAAAGAAATTATTTTTGAGATTTTTTTTCTAACAAAATGAGTATTTACCTTAGAAACAGCTGCTGCCATTTCAAGGTGTCTGATTAACCAACAGCTTTATTGCAAGGCACACACTGTCATTCTTACAGGAAAGAAAAAACCCCAAGTTTTAGAAGTAACACTTGCATGTTAAGAGGAGCTGGGGAAGGAGAGTCTCAGTAAATTCCAGAATCGGTTGATTAGTGGTTGATTATATTATCTTGAGAATATTAAAGATTCTGTAACAGTCTGGGTATTTTAATTTGAGGTGTTTTTCTTTTTTGTTTTAAGATACAGCAAAGCAGCTAAAATTCTCCTGCAGTGACTCTTTGCTTACGCTTAGGACATCTCAGACCTTTTTGTTTACAACATTTACTGCTTCTGAAGATAAAGGCAGGAGACGGAGGAGTTTCTTGTCGTGACAACAGACACCGGGATTAGGCTGTCATTAGACTGCAGAGTTCACTGAATCACCTGAATAAAGCATCAAAACTGAAAGTTCCACCCTGTCAAGTTTCTCCTCCAGTCCTTAGTCTTTATTTCTGTGCCTGAACAGCTCATACAGCTGGGACCGAACAGCTCATACAGCTGGGACCAAACAGCTTGAAATATCAGCCCCATGCTTTAGGCACTAAAACTCTTTCAGCCTCAACTTACCTTGGCTGGAAACATTCACACAGAAATAAATCCCGTAGATCTGATACACGTACAGAGTTCCTGGTTTCATGAACATTGCTGCATTTCGTTGAGTTTGCTTCCCACCTTTTGAGTGGGAAGCTTCATCTTCCCCACCCAGGTAAGCTTCTGTTTCAACAATCCTCCCCCAGAGTTCTCTGCCATCAGGAAGTTTGCGAACTAAAATCTGAAAGAGAGGTCAGAGTGCATCAGTTAGCAACCCTCTACAAGATAACCAGAGAGCAAGAGCTGTGGAAACACAAGGAGTTAGAAAAAAAGGACCAGATGGTGCTGCACACTCTCCCCTCCATCTACCATCCAGTCTGTAAGCTAATGTGAAGTTTTTTCAGCTTCTACTGGCCAGGCCACAGCGCAGGACAAGAAGTTCCTACCTGTCATTCACCTCACAAAATGCCTGCAGTGTCTAGATATGGCAGTATCATAAAGAACCAGTTTATGATCCTATGTACAACAAAGCCCACAGAGTTGCTTTTGTGGTTAGTTATTTTCTGTATTCTCCACCCCAGTCCACCAGGTTTAAGGCAAAAATCACCACCAATATCAACCCTGAAGCATCATGAATGTGTATTCTTTAGATCAGAAGAAGTATGACAATGGCACAATTGAATAACTACTCTGACTAGACAGTCTCTCTCCACAGAGATGTTCCAAGCCAGTCCTAGTCCCTAACCACAGAGATAATCACGACCAGAGTGAGTATCGATGCTATTTCTGTATTTTCTGTACCAGGGAGAGGGGCAGTGCAGGAGAGCTGGGAACTGGCTTCAGGCAAACAACAGATCTCTGTTATTACAGTGTGTTCCCTGCTGCTGGTACCTCCTTAAATAAAACAAAGCAGATGCAGGGGAAAAAACCATGACAGTAAAAAGATTATTTTTTAAAAATAAAACAACCACTGCATTTCATACTAAGTTTTTTGTGGTTTGATCTGATTTCTAAACTTATTTTACTTAATGTGTGTTGAAGAAATACTGCAGTATAGTCTCATTTAGGCAACAGCTATCAGTTTAATTATTCTATATTCACTGCTTCCATATTTGAAAACCAGCCATTCAAAAATAACCTGCAAGAAACAAAGCTTAACTCCTAACAGATGTTTGTGCTGGATTGCTAATGCAGTTACTGACCTGATCCCGTGTGGATGCTCCAGAAGTCAGTACTCAACTCTGGTATATCAAGGTTTCCCTACAGCACTTCTCAAATTGTTGAAAACAATCAGTTGATTCAGTTTATTATTTTTATGAAAAATGCAGTGACTTCAGAAAAGCCCTGGTGTTTAGCAACTGCCTGTAAACCCCTCCAAAGCACACCCCTGTGGCCACATTTCTCTTTCAATATGATGAAATACAATGGTTAGGTTATGATTTTAAAAGCATGCAGGCATTTCCCTGACTCTTCAGACCTACCACATATCCACAGCTAAACAGTTTAAAAATGGTGATCATTGACAATACCTCACAGTAAACTACTTTATAGAGGTTTTTATTTCTCATTGAGGACATATCTTGGTGTTATGACAGTTCATTTTGCAGCTGTTGATTGTGAGTATGTTTTGGGGCATTTTTTTGTTTCAAAGAACTCAGGTATCATGTTTAAGGTAAGCAATATTAATATACTAGGCACCTCCAAAATTTGGTAGAATGAAGATAATGAATGGAACACTAAATTACCATTACAATTATAATTCTAAGAAAATGAGAGAGTAGACTGGGTCATGGGAGACTAGGGGGGTTATATTTTAAACAAAATCTAAAATGAATATAGAAATTGCCTGGGTTGTAATTCTAGTCCTAAATAGGAAAAGTACAGAATTAGAACTAAAATATCATCTGCTCGGGGTAACTGAATGCATAAGGATGTTGGAGTCATTAAGACAAAGAAATTCATCAGCTCTAGGAGACTTCAGATATTCTCATATAGACCAAGTAAATATCACAGTAGGACAGGACACAGGTTATGTTTTTTTAGACACCATCAAATACTTTGCAGAGTGAGTGATCTGGGATCTCACAAGAAAAGACCAAACTCTCAAACTGATCCAGAATGTAAAGTCTTTTCCAAAAACTTATCCCTGAAAAACAACTTTGTATCATGACCGTGAAGTATAAAGTTCAGTGTCCTTCCACGAGCATTAAGATCCAAAAATAATCTGTCAGAGTTCTGCTTACCAGTGAAAAGGGGAAACTACATAAAGTGAGGAAGCTTGTTAGGAAGAACTTAAAGAGGCAGCCAAAGGTTAAAGCTGGAAAGACAAGCCTCTAGCAGGATGTCTATAAAGATAGCAAACACACATGACGTATCAGAGAGGTTAGGACAGACCAAAAAAAACCCAGCGGGGTTAAAAAGCAGAGCAAAGGCGTCAGTTACAAGCAAGACATTATCCTTAGAAAATAAAAAAGGCAGCTAGACACAGCAAGACAGGCCAAAGCCAACAGTTTGTGGAACAAATTCCTACAGTTATCTCACCCAATGGGAACCCAGAGATTCTATTCACCCTACAGACAATAAAGGCATAAAAAAGACTCAAGGAAGATAAGACGAGAGCAGTGAAACTAAACACACATTTGGCAATTGTGTTTAAGAGGTCCCACACTGGAACTT